CTGGAGATCAGAGGGCAGGAGGAGGGCACGGTGGGCATTCACCCCCACCCCGCATGGCTCCTTCAGCCCCTGCTGGCTCACCACGAGCAAACCACCGCCATTTCCCTCCTGCAGCCACAGTCTGGCTCCAGAAGCCCAGGGGTCCACTCCCTCCTGGGCCCTTTAGACCTCAGGGTGCTGAAGGCCGCCCCAGGTGCCAGCCTGCCCAGCGACCACCCTCCTTGCTCCCCGTGCTCTGCCCGCACCTTTGTCACGTGTCCCTTCATGCCAGCCCCTCCATTGCATCCACCCCGCTCAGTCCTAACAGCTGGGCCTCACATGCGAGTCCCCACCACACTATGTCACTCCTGCAGACTGTCAGCCTTTTGAGGGCAGGGGCCAAGTGGTACCAGCAGGAGCAGAGGGCACCATCGCTGCTTCCTGAATGAATGAATGAATGAATGGGCAAATGGATGAATGGAGACTAACACATCACTGTCCACACAGGAAGGTCTTCCACACAGGAAGTGTGTAGACCTTCCTGTGTGTAGACCTCTCAAAGCTCCTCGCTCGATCAAATGGCTGCTGTTCTGCCCCAACTAGAGCGCCCACATCACCATGGGGGAAACAGCATCGCCTGGAGGAGCCTTGAAGACCCAACCAGCCATGACAACTGGGGCCTGAGGATGCCCACGAGCCCTGGTCACAGCTGCCATCGGTGGCTCCATTCATCCATCCATCAAGGGCTGCCCGGTGGCCTGCTCTGTACCAGGACCTCCCGGGGCCACTAGGAGGACAGTGCTACCATCTCTCACCCTTTTTTGAGCCAGGGACTGATTCACTCCATTGAATCTCCCAATGGTTGATGAGAAGACGGTTCTTTGAAGCCCAAAGCAGTTGATCTGTGTGGCCAAAGTCATGCGACCACATGCTGGACACACAGGGAGATGGACATACAGGCCCCTCACTGAGTCAGGAGCAAAATGAGAGCGGCCCGCAAGGCCCCGAGACAGGAGTACTGAGGAGGGAGCACTAACAGAGAAGCACCTCCCTCTGTCTGAGAGGGTTGCTAAGACACCACAGAGGCCAAGAAGGGTAAATGGAGCCGGCTAGGTGGGCAAGGGGTAGGGGGACAGCTTTCCCAGGAGAGAGGCCAGCGAAGGCAAGGCCTGGGCACTTCCACGGCCTCTGCAGACGCACCACGTGTTTGTGTGTGAGAGAGGAGATGATGGGGAGGAGTGTGGATCCTGGCTCAGGCCACTGAGGACCAAGGGGTCGTGGCTGAGACTGGGAGAGGGAGCCGGTGTGGGGTGACATGTACAGGAGGAGAGGGCCAGAAGAACGAGGTGACAGACTTTCCTGGCCTCAGCTTCCAGAGTGTCCGAATACTGTCCCCAGGATCCCACAAGCCAGTTGGAGAATTGCCTGCCCAGGGCCGACCCCTGTCCCAGAGCCAGGGCTGTCAGGAGACACAGCCCAGGTCGGGGAGTCAGGGAGCACCCTCCGACCTCCCCTATCTCCAGGGCACTGTGGAGCAACAAAGGGAACCTGAGACCAGTCCTGAGCAAAGTTTAGTGGAAGGAAAGGACTGACCCAAAGGGACAGGGCTAGAGGAGGTGATGAGGCAGCCACGGGGGGTCTCGGAGGACACGTCCCAGACATTCCAACTCCTCACCCTCTCTAGTCCCTGCATCTGTCCCTGGATCCCTCCCTCGGCAGGGCAGGGTTGGCCAAGTGTGGCAGGAGGGCATGAGGAGCCAGCCACTCACCTGAGGTCAGGAGCAGAAGCAAGAGCAGGGATCCCAGACCCCTGGGCGTCGCCATCCTTGGCCAGCCTTGCGCACGCCACCAGAGCCCTGCAGCTGTCTGGCCCTCTGGCCCCAGGCTCTGCCGAGCTGGCCTGCCCCCACCCTGCAGCCCCACCGCTCTGGCTTCCTGTCTCACCCTTCCTGCTCAATGGCCCCATCAGTTGGGTTGTGAAAGGTTAGCGTGGGGAACTGGGTAGTGCTCCCAGTCTCACCACAGCCTGGGTCCACCTGCAAAGGGAGCTGCTGAGCCCACCCAGGTATGTGCCCCAGGGCCCCACTGGGGTGGATCTATGGGGCTAGAGGCTGGGTGGCCACACAGGCCTGGCTCAGAGCAGACCCCTGGAAACTGTGATGAGCACAGGCTTTGGAGTCAGACGCATGTACTCAGACCCCTTCTCTCACAAGCTGGGAGCCTCTCTGAGCCTCAGTTTCCTCCTCCGTAAAGTGAAGATGGCAATGGGGCTGCCTCCTAAGGCTGTGTCAGGGTTTGATGAGACCTGCAAGAAGCTGGGCACAGAGCCTGGCTCTGGGCATGAGGACAAAGACCCGAATGGAGCCTGTGGCTTGAACCAGGGTGGAAGGCGTGGGAGGAGAGCAGGAGCTGACCCTGTGGCCTGAGCCTCCCCCACCAGCCTGGATAACAGGACAGTCCCACAGGCCGGGGAGCGGGAAGACGGGAGTGCGGCCCCGGGAGCTGGTCAGGTCTGGACTGACATCCGTCCTGGCCACTTCCTGGCTGGGTGACCTTGCATGCACTGTCTGTCACCCTGAGCCCCCGGAGGTGTGTGATGAACTCACGGATAACGCAGGCGGAGCCGCTCAGCCAGTGGATGTGGCCATGACATCGCCTCTGATCATCAGAGCTGTGAAATTGTTGTCTTCACACCCCAGCTGGTCACTGATTGGGTGCAGGGGCGGGTGGCAAACACGCCTGGGCTTCAGCCTAAAGGAATTGGGGCTCCAGCCACTCGGGCTTCAACTCTGGAGGCCCCACAGATGCACTGTGGATGAGGTCATGGCCACTTGGAGATTGGAAGGTGAAGGGCATCCCGCCAAGGTGTGTGGTTGCTGGCATCCCCCTCTGGCCCACAGGGCTGGCACTAGCCCTACTTAGCCTTGGGATCGAACTGGGGAGCCACTCGGCCCCCGCTGGCCTCCATTTCCCCTTCCTCCCTCTCAGTGTCTCCTGCTGAGCCCTCTGGGTCTGGGAAGGGGTGGGGAGGGGATGTCAGGGTCACTCATGGGGTGGAAGCAGGTGGGAATTCAGCATGGAGCAGCAGGTCAGAGTCCAGGGCTTCCTGAGCCCCAAAACCTTCCCCTGCAGGGAGGGCTGCAAAGGCAGATAAATGGCTGGGCCTGCCACTGCTCCACACCCAGCCAGCCTTCTCCGGGAAGACCTGCGGACCTGCCTTCCAGCCGCAGGTGAGGGTGAGGTGGGGCAGTGGACTTGGATGTGCCGGGCCATCCTGGCGCCTGGGACCTCAGAGAGGCTCACAGGTACACGTGCGTGAAGAAGGGCCTGGGGGTGAGCAGAGTGGAACTCCGAGCACCCAGCCCACTTGGGAATGCAGGCTCAGGGCACCTGCGGGGAGGGCAGGGGAAGGTCAGGCAGGGCTGGAAGGAGGGCCACCTTTTCCTATGACCCCTTCCCTGAAAGGCCCCATGGGGACCAAGGACTAGCCTGGAGCCACTCACAGAACCCTGAGACCCCCCCCAATCCCAGGGCCAACAAAACCGTAGTGTCCCTTCCTGCCACCTCCTGCCCCGGCTTCTCCCAATGGCTCCAGTGGGCGGGGTCTCAAGTCCTCCAGCCAGACCCAGCCAGCATTCAGCCCTCGGCTACTCCAATCCATTTCCCAGGTTAAAGGGATGTTTCCAGATGCAGGCCTGGCCACGTGCTGGCAGAAAGGGCGGCCCCGCTGTCCAAAGCCCCATAGCCCAGGAAAGTGCATGATAAGAACCATCAGGGTGAAAGGATCAGCACGGAGCTGTTGGTGCCCCGTCCAGGGCCTATGAGAAGCGGGAGAATTGCGGAGGAAGGGGGCTGGGTCCTTTCCCTCCCTTCTGGAGGATGGGGGAGTTGCCTCAACCCCCGACCCAGGACCTAGCCCAGCCATGGGGCTCTGAGAGACACCCTCATGGAGACCTAGAGGCCTGTAAGGAGGGAAGCTGGCTCTGATCCCCCTGGGCTGCCCAGTCCGGACACTGGGGTAGGGGAGGCTTGGGAAGGTTTGGCCTCTGTCCTTTGGAGCTGGGGGCATAAGAGAAGCCCCCCCGCCACCTGCAGAAAGGTGGGGACAGAGGTCAGTGAAGCGAGTGGAGGGAGGGTTGGGAGAGCCACAGGGCACACGGATTCTTGGTCCCTGCAGGTCCCAAAATCCCACATTCACGCCCCTCAGAGGGCATTGCCAGTCTAGGCCCGGCTGCCTCACACCCACCCTGTCCAATCCAAGACCCCGAGCCTCTTCCCCTGCTGGGCGTACCCCTAGAGTGGCCAGGGGAGGAGGGAGGAGCCTACAGAAGGGAGAGAGTGGGCTGTGGGCCTTGGGGAGAACTTTGTCTGCACTGAGCACAGTGGCAATGATCCATTGCGACTGCCCTCACCACAGGGAAGATGGGAACCTGTGTGATCTGCCTAACCTGGGCCTTAGGAGGCGGAGGAGAGATTGATTTGGTGGAACAAGGTTAAAGGCAGGGATGGGAGAGAAGTCCGGTGATTTAATTATTGCAGTCCACCTGCTGCAGAGTGGTCAGTAAACTGGTTGCATAAATCCCAGGACCAGGCAGCTTTTGACGGTAATCTCTTTGGCCAGATGATGTTTTGGATTCGCCAAAATCAGGGGATTTCAAACCACATTCTGGATTTCCCATTTCTCATAAAAGGCAGGTGATCTGGCTACATGGGCCCTCATCCCTGCAATGCAGTGACCAGCTGGAGCTGATGAGCAGCCACCCCCTCAGCACAGGGTTGGGACTCTCCAGTTCGCCACAGACCCCACCACTCCCCATTGCCTCCCCAGCACAGACACCAAGTTGACATTTATCTTCCCCTTTGCCCTGGTTTCCAGCAGTCGATTTTTTTTTTTTTTTTCCCCCACACACAGCCCTCTTCTCTCTTTCATGTTTCCTGATTGGCCTCAAGGTATTTGCATCAGTGACTCTTTTAATAGAAGCTTGGTAAAAAGCTCAGAAGAAAATGACCCAAAACGCTTATGCCAGTTTGCTAGGTGATAACAACAGCTGATTTTTATTTTTCTCGATTCTCTCTACAGTTTCCAAATTCTCTACAATGAACATGTACTTCTTTTCAATATCAAAAGACAAAAGAATTGGTACGTAAAAAGAACATCCTTCCCATCTTGAAGGTCAAGATTAAACGCTGACTCCTGCAGGAAGTCTTCCAGGATTCCCAGCCAGGAATGATGGCTCCCTGTCCCCGTGCCTGTAGCTCCAGGAGCTCTTGCTTCATGCACGCCTCACATACCAGACTGAGGGGTGGCAGGGGGAGTGTCCAGGTCGGTCATCTGTGTCCCTGCCATCTAGCACAGGCCAGCGATCAACCCGTGTGTGTTTGCTGGACAGAATTAACCATGATGGGCGGCTGAGGGTGCCTGGAGCTATTTGCAGGGACTTGGAGAGGATCCCTTAGGAGTGTCAGGCTCTAGGCCAGTGTCACCAGAGGAGGTCAGTCTCAGTCCTTGGAGTGCTGGGATGGAAATCAGATGGGACTGGCATGGTCCACAGTTCTTGCCACAAGAGGGCTTCAGAAGAGGCTGAGGGCTCCTCTCAGGCATGTGCTTGGTCAGGGTGAGCAAGGGCAATGCAGCTCATACAAAGGCTCAGATGGACAGAGGGACCTAGCCCAGCCCAGGCATCGGTCCTGAGCCTGGGTTGGGGCAGGCCAAGGCTTGTGCAGTAGACAAACATTTACAGCAGATACCAGGCAGCTCCTAGAAACCACTCCCTGACACATAGCATTGGAATCGGGGACCCCAAGCTGTGAATGAAGGAGCAAGGAGGCCCTGGGAGAGGAGGAGAACCCCAGGGAAGATGGAGGGAGGACTGGGAGGCTAAGGGCGGGAGGGGGCCTAGGCTCAGAGGTAGGCGAGCTGCGGCTGTGCTCCTGGCAAAGGGCCTCTCCTCCGCCAGGGCTCCGGCCCTGAAGGTCTGCCCTGGGCCCCTTTCGCCCTGGGTGCCACCTGAGGTTAAAATGACAGAGGATGCAGAGCACCCTCAGGGTGACCACGAGAGACAGAGCAACTGGAGCCATGTTTCTGTCCTAGGCAGGGGCACAGGATTAAGGATGTGCCAGACCCTCAAGATCCAAGGCCTGGCCCCCCAGCAACAAGGGCTGGACCCAGGGGTTGTAAGGAGAGGCCAGGCCTCCATCCGGGTTAGGACAGATGTGAGGACAGTCCCCTAGCCAGCATGGCGGTGCGCTTCTGGGCCCTGTGGGAGCTGAGTGAGAGCCAAGTAGTCCCCAAGGCCAATTCAAAAGCCCAGCCCGGGAGTCCGTCCACCACGGCAACAGCCCATCTCTCATGGTCGTTGGGCCTTCCCAAGTGTCTGGCTGACTGGCCTGGGGCTGGGCCTGGCTCGGGGGCCACAGTCAGTGTGCAGTGAGGCCGCATCTGTGCTTCCTCACACGGGCAGGTGGGCTGGAGGCCTAGATGCGGCTGGATGAGGTGCTGCCCGTGCTGATGGGGAGCCTGGCGCTGTCTGAGTTGCTCTTCAGAGGGGAGGGGCCACCCCGAGCCTGTAGCCGCATGGACCAGTACCAGAGGAAGATGAGGAAGCCTGCGGGCAGCGAGGGCACGGGGTCAGCAGGTGGGGGAGCCCTGCCCTACCCGTCCTCCTCCCTCCCCAGCCACTGTGACTCGGGTCTGCCCCACCTCCCCACCAGTGTTTGCCCAGCACGTGCTGTCGGGCACCCATGGGACCCAGCGAGCACCTCCTACGAGCCAGGCACTAAGCTAAGTCCCCGTGTGGCCTCTCACTGTCACAAGCTTCCTGCAGGCCCGTCCTATTCATCACTATTCTCTTTTGTAAACAAAGAAACTGAGGCCCAGGAGGCCCAGGTAAGGGGATGTGGCTGAGCCAGGGCTCAAACCGTGGTGAACAGGCTCTGGAGCCCACTCACTTAAGCACTGTGTGATTTTGCACCCCGTAAATTAACCGCACTATGATGTATTCATAGCTTGGTAAATGTCTGTGTGAATGTACGAGCCTCACTTACAGTCCTGAGTCCCCTCATCTCATAGGCAGGAAAGAAGGTTTGAATGTTAAATAACCAAAATTTTGGTAACATCTCCCCACCACCAACTCCCAGCTCCCATTCTAGGGTGACCTTGTATGGGAGACTGGCCTTGTACCCCATGTGAGCCCCTGGGCCTGGCCATAAACCCCCTCCCATTCTGCACGGCCAGGAACAGAAGGGTGTGCATGCCTGTGTGTGCACCTGAATGTACACACATAGATATAAGAACAGGAATGGACCCTGTTGGCATCAAGCCAGGGCCCTCACAACCCCGCCCCGGGATCCCACCCCTCCGCCCCTGACCTGCTGCCCTCTGGCCACGCTCTCCCTCACTGTCCTTCCTACACACAACTGGTTCCAACCTCAGGATCTTCGCTCTTGCCTCTCCCTCTGCCTGGAACTTCCTTCCCCTAGACCAGGCCTCCTGAGTCAGTCACATGCACATGACCCCATAGGCATTTGTGAAAATGCAGATTCTGATGCAGCAGGGCCTGGGTGGCCCAGAGGCCGCATTTCCAACAAGCTCCCAACGATGCTGCTGCTGCTGGTCGTGGACCACACCTGGAGTAGAAAGGCCCCCCATCTCTCCATGGCAAGATCCTTCTCTTGTCTTCACACATCTCCTATCCAGAGAGGCCTCCCTGGCCACCCTTCTTAGGGGGTCCCCCACCCCAGTCCAGGCTCTGTGCAGCACGTCCTCATGACGACATCCCTACTATCTGGGACCACCTTTGATGGCTACATGCTTGTCTGCTGACGCTCAGTCTTTCCCACTAGAGCTGAGCTCCATGAGAACAGGGCCCACACCCAACCAGCTCAGCCACAGCCCTGTGGCTTTGCACAGGGCCTGCACATAGTAGGTGCTCAATAAAGACTTGTTGACCGTGGCCTGAATGTCCCCATTTTATGAATGGGATGACTGAGGCCCAGAGAAGGGAAGCCTTCAGGTTCCCCGGGTGATCTCTTCCCTGCCCTGTGCTCCATGTGTAGGCACCCTTCCTGGGCCAAAGGACGGGTCTTCTCCTTACCTTGGAAGGAGGTGATGATGCTGAAAAGGTAGAGGACGACAAGCTGGAAGGTTCCAGAAGCAAAGGAGAAGAAGATCAAGGCCCAGGGTAGGCCAAGGACCAGGCTGAGGCCCAGCAGCGTCAGCACATGCGACCACTTTTGGGTGTGGGGGCGCAGTCGCAGGATCTGCACCACCATGGTGCCTAGCATGGCCATGTTGAACAGAAACACCAGGCTGAAGAGGCCCAGGTTGGTGATGTAGCTGACCAGGGAGTCCCGGATCCAGCACCTGCGGGCAAGGGTGGGAGGGCTCAGTGTGCAGCCAGCAGGGGCAGCATTTCTTGGGCTGTGGTTGTCATGTTTGTTTTCAGGATTATCTACTGTTTACAGCAAATACTGCTTGTTTTCTATTTACAGTGTTGATGTAATTTTAAAAATACATTTAAGTTAACCAGTCAGATTGTTTAAAGGAAAATATCAAGTAAGTAATAATACAGATAGTACAAAAGTGAGGCAGATATCACTGGGTCACAATGTGAAGAGCTGAAAATTTCAAAACCACTGAGCCAATGGGAAGGATTCCTTCCCAGCCTGGAGCTCGGGAACCCTGGCTTCCAGGCTGGGTTCAGGGGATCCACAGGCAGGGCCACTGCCAGCCTGGGTGAATTGGGTGAGTGGAGAAGGACTGGACTTCAACCACACTCATCTCCTGCCTTTGAACAGCACGCCAGCCCTCAGTGTGGCCAAGAGTGGATCTCTCCCCTCCCTGAGCCTCCGTCTTCCCATCTGCCTGGGGAGACAGAGAGGTGCTGCTGAGGAATGTGTTGAGGCTCATCTGCTCCAATCCATACCCACATTCATGCACGAGGAAACCAAGGCTCAGAGAAGGGCCAGGACCTGCGCAAGGTCACCTCGTGAGTGAGTGGCGGATCCAGGCCTTTTCTCACCCTCCATGACTCAGACCAGTGCTCTGGTCACTGCCAGGCCAATTCCTTGAGGAGACTGGAACCCAGGTGTCTCCTGGCCAGCATGACCTGGGCCCGGCCTGCACTCTGGCCTCTGCACCCAGAGATCCATCTTCCTGCCCCCATTGCACACAGCCACTCACATGGAAGGGTAGATGGTGCTCTCTGGAGTCCTATGCACAGCCAGGATGATGGGGCCATAGTTGTCCACATCCACCAGGGCCACCAGCGTCACCAGAAAGATGGGGAAGCCTGAGGGTGGCAATGCATGTTGCTCCACTTCCCGCTCTCTGAGGCCTGCCCCTTCCCTGCTGGCCTCAGGGGGTCTGGAGGGCGAGGGCCCCTCTGAAGTGTGGGCTCCCGAAGCCAACACAGCCCCATCTGGTGGCGAAGTTCCCCCAAGCTTGAACCCTCCCCCTCACCTTTCCAGTTCGGGTTTCCTATAAGGGGAAGCCATCTCCTCCAACCTCAGCCCTGCCCTTTATCGCCCCGGGGGCCCCTGGGAGAAAGGCCTGTGGGTCTCTGCTGCAGGGCTGGATGTCACAGGGGAGATGGGAGGGGCAGAGAGTTTAGGAGGGACAGCAAGAGTTCTGCCATCAGGGGACGTCTGCACTGGGCCTTGACCTCATCCATTAGGTGGAGATTGGAAGCTCCCTCGAGCGGGCTGCCCACCTCCAAACACAGTGTCCTCACACAGAGACGCCTCCAAACACAGGGTCCTCACACAGAGACACCTCCAAACACAGGGTCCTCACACAGAGACGCCTCCAAACACAGTGTCCTCACACAGAGACACCTCCAAAGGAATTTCATGCAAATGGGGGAATGGACAAAGAAGGGGTCCAATGACAAACCCACGGGGAGCAGCAAGCTGGAGTCAGGGGCATGCAGAGGTTGGGGGTCTGTGCAACGTCCAAAAAGACTTGTGGCATCATGATCCCCTGGGCTGTAGGTCTGACAAAAGGGGGCTGAGCCACAGGTGAATTGAATAGTTATTGGCCACGAACAAAATGCCAAAGCTGCAGGGAATCTGTTACCCAAGGTCCAGGGGGATCCTGAGGCAGGGCCACTGCCAGCCTGAATTAATTAAATGAGTGGAGCGGGACTGGATTTCAGCCCCACTGATCTCTGAACTGGGTGCCTTTGAGCAGTGCACAACCTGCACATTCACACACAGTGGCCCTGCTCATAAATCCCCTTTGCAATGCAGTGAGTGATGTGGAGAATTTGGAAGTGTTTCTTGGGGACAGGGCTCACCACTTCTTCCTAAAGGGGACCGTGACCCAGCCAAGGTGAAGGACACCTGAGGATGAGTGAAGGAGGCCGGGAGGGAAATCAGAGAGATAGGTGGAGAGGCAGAACCAGGTGCCTGGGTTTTACCAGAGCCAAGTGGGAGAGGCAGGTCTGAGGCACCCCCCATCCAACTTACCCCAGCCCATGGCGCTCAGCTTGAGCAGGTAGCCAGGGACGTAGGTGCCAAAGACCTCCACCACAAGTCGGTAGAGGTTGTAGCCCTCGAGGCCCATCCAGGAAAGGCAGGCGAGCAGGGAGAAGTGCAGGAAGATGGCGCTGGCTCGGCAGCCAGACTGGGAGCCCGTCAGGGCCACCGGCTCACTGAGCAGGAAGCTCACGTCCAGCAGGAAGACGGCCAGCAGTAGGTTCATGTGCACCTTGATGGTGTAGTCCCGAGGTTTCCTCCTGCACGGCAGGGGCACCCTGGTGGGCCAGTGTGGGAAGGTAGAGAGGGGAGTGTGCCCACATCTCCTCCAGGAAGCCTTCCCAGACTGCCCCCAAATCCGACACACACATGCAATCATACATGCCCCCTATCCTATTCCTGTGGCTGCAGCCAAGCTGTTCCCCACATCTCCCTGTGCACCTACTGTGTGCCCAGCACCCACAGACTCAGGCGCCATGTGCACGTTTAACAGAAGCCTCAGCCAGGCAGAGCGAGGAAGACAAATCAACCCCGATAATAAACCAGACACCCCCAAAGTCGGAGAATGCCAAACACTTTGGCATTTTCACCGTGTTGGAGAATCCATGCCGTCCACGTTCTGTGTCTGCCTGTCTGTCTGCACGACTATGCACCTGTGAGTCTGAGTGTGGGCTGCGTGCATCGGTCTGTCTGAGGTTTGCAAGTCAATGTGTGCACACCCCACCTCCCACCCCCACTCCAGGATTCTACATGGCCCTAGAGGGTGCCGCAGAACATGCAGGTCCCAGCATCACCACCCTGGAGTCCCACCCTGCCCTGCCCCTAACTCATGGCACCATCTTGAGCTGGTCCCTTCCCCTTGAGACTCTCAGTTTGCCCATCTGTGAAGTGGGAGAATGGTGCCCTCGTAGGGTCGGGTGAGAGTTACACTGACACAAAGCATCTGACACAGATAAGGTGCTCAGTTCCTAAGGGTTCCTGTGCTGTGTCCTTGGGCATGTTTGTGGGCAGTTGGGTGTTGAGGACTTCTGCCTCCACCCCCAGCCTTCCGCTGGGCCCATCTCATCACCCACCTGTCCTTCCTCATCACCATTACCTACTTAGTTCCCCGGGGACACAGCTGTGCGCACACATGACAGTCATATATGCACACACATGCTTGTGCCCACACATAAATACAGCTTCACCTTCCTCTCCTCCTTCCTCGTGACTGGGGACAGTGAGAACTGAGGGTGTCTCTTCTCTATCCAAAAGGGTTCAGCACTGAGGGCAAGTGAACCCCAATTTAGGCCAAGTCAAGCACTGACAATCTGACCTCTGCCACTTCCCTACTGTGTGACCTCAGGCAAGTCACTTACCCTCTCTGAGTGTTGCTTCATAGGGCTGTTGTGAGGAAGAACTGAGTTCACACATGTAAAACACTTAGAACAGTGCATGGCACGTGGGAAGTTGGACACACATGTTAAGAATGATCATTATCGCTTTGATATTATTCTGTCCACCCAGTGCTCCCACAAATCTGCTTATTCAAAGGCAGAAATGAAGATTCTTTCCTTTTTTAAATTTTTTGGTTTGCTTTCCTGTCTTACTCTAAGAAAGAAACAGATTCTTAGGTGGACTCCCTCAATTTTAAATGTTGACAATTAGCCGGGCGCAGTGACTCTTGCCTGTAATCCCAGCACTTCGGGGGGCTGAGGTGGGTAGATCACTTGAGGTCAGGAGTTTGAGACCAGCCTGAGCAACATAGTGAAACCCCATCTCTACTAAAAATACACAGGTTAGCCGGGCGTGGTGGCGGGCACCGGTAGTCCCAACTACTCAGGAGGCTGAGGCAGGAGAATGGCTTGAACCCGGGAGGCAGAGGTTGCAGTGAGCCAAGATCGTGCTACTGCACTCCAGCCTGGGTGACAGAGCAAGGCTCTGTCTCACAAAAAATAAAATAAAATAAAAATAAATAAATAAATAAATAGATAAAATGTTGACAGTTAAAATTTGTAAATGCTATGTTATCCAAACACCACAGATCTGAGGAGGAGATATGGCCACTAGGGGTCAGCATGCTGTACCCGCCACAGCTCCCCTAACCACACACACAGTTCCAGGTCATGCGGGTGGGCCACGACCAGAGGTGTGTGTGGTGCCCTGGCGGAGGTGTGTGCAATGCAGGGTCACCTCCCCTGTCCCACCCCTTTCAGGCCTCACCTGGAGCAGAGGTAGGCGGCAATGGTGACGACGCAGGCCAGGGCAGAGACGACACATCCCACGTAGGAGAGAAGGCTCAGGTAGTGCTTGTGCACGGCATCCACCTCCACCGAGGAGACCTGGCCCCAGGAGACAGGTGAGGGCTGGCCTCCATGTCCCCCACCCAACCTGGAGGCTTGCCCTGCATGAGGGGCTAACCTGGGGCCCCTGGTGGGCCTCAGAAGCCTAAGAACCCCCTCTCCCAACTGAGCAGAATGTGGTCCCATGAATGCATTTTTCTGGAGTGGGGGCATCTTTCGATTTGACCACATTCTCAAGGGGCTTCCTGACCCACAGAGGCCAAGAACCTTTCATGAGATAACCCCTATTCTGTCCTGGCACTGATGATTCTTCTACAACATTGAACATGGGAATAGGTTTCCTGTGAGGGAACGAGATTCCCACACCCAGGGGTGTTCCAGCCCTAGGTGGATACCCACAGGCAGAATCCTGCAGTCCTGGGAGCATGAATTCTGCGGTGTTGGGGGTACTAGAGGCCACCTCAAGGGCATCATTAGAAACACTCCTGGCCCCAGCACTGCCAAATCAGAACTCCAGGTGAGGGCCAGGAATCTACATTTTAGCACACACCAAAATTTGGGAATAAAGAGCAGGGTCTGTACGAACCAACTCTTTCACTGACTAGCTGGTGGCCATGGGTAAATTGCTTAACCTCTCTGAGCCTCCATTTCCTCATCTATAAAATGGGACAACAATAGAAGCTACGTTGGAGAGTTGTTATGAGGAATAAATGACTTAATATATGAAAAGTGCTTGCACAGAACAAGCACACGGCCTGGGGCGTGAGTGCAGGGCGGGAGCGGGGACCCTCACCATCAACACTGCAAAGTAGGTCAAGTGGTTGCAGAAGCAGGATGTTTGGGTTTCTCTCCTGACGGTCTCACACCCAGCACTGCTCCAACGCCCCGGGTTGCTCACTGAGGACGGGACGGCATGGGGCTCCAATCAAGTCCAGTCCTCCAGGACTCCACTGTGCCCACCCCCAAAAGCACAACTGTGTCATTCTTCCGCCCGGCCTACTCATAGCCTGCCATTGCTCTCTCTTCAAAGTCCACCTTTCTCCAGGAAGCCCTCGGTGATTAACCCCACCTCCGCCACCCCCCAGGACTCCATTTCTCTTTCAGATACTTGTCCAGCCCTGAGACCCCTGCATACTCACATGTCGGGTCTTCAACCCAGAATACACATTGCAGAGTCACATTCTTCTGTAGGGACAAGAAAGAAGGAGAGTGGCTTCTGTTACACTCCCCCCTGCTTTACGGGCCAGGCAGAGGAAGCCTAGAACACAGTCAAGCCACCACCTGCCCCATTTGGACCTGACTGGCTGGAGCCCTCAATCAGGCAATCATTTCGTTATAAAGACAAATGAGTCTGGAGGGAGGAAGAGGAAAGGGCGATATGGCCGAGGGGCGCTTGTCCCCTCGATGGCTGGTCCCCACTCACCGGCTGTGGCTGGTGCTGGAAGGTGAGCACCACGGGCTCCGTGAGGTTGGCTACTTTGGTATTCTGCACCACAATCCCCAAGACCTTCTCACCCAGGACTTGGCTGGAATTCTTGTCCTAGATACATGGGGTTAGGGGAAGAGCGTAGGGAGGGAGTTCAGGGCTGAGAAGAAGGGCCCAGAAGCCCCTTACTCTCTCTAGATAACTCTCTCTCCCAGCACATTGCCTGGAGATGCTGCATCTCCCTCTGGAACCAATTTTGCCCGTGTAGTCATTTACACTATAGTCAGAAGAACATTGCTTAGCCCTCTCACAGGGAGATTTGCACATTGCAGTGCAATTTCTAACTTTACAAGGAAAGGCTTTGACTCCCAGAGGAAGGAGCTCATCTGCACGCCTTCTTTCCACCTCTGTCAGAAAAAAACTGCTTTCTCCTGGGAGGCATGAGGACCCCATACCTGGAACAGGGCTTGGCTGCTGAAGTCCACCAGGAGGAGTCTCTTCTCAGCCTCCCCTCTCCGGCCTTTCGTCCTCTGGAAGAGTGTTCGAGGCAGCAGCACCGAGTACTCCAAGATCTCGCTCTGCTCCTCCTGCAGAGGTCCCTTCAGGGCTCAGCCAAATGTGGATCCCCAGATCCGTGCCCCCCGCCCCAGCACACACACACCCCCATCCCTTCCTTGACACCGTCACTTCTAAGCCTATTTCTTCAGGAAGTCAAGCCTGACTCATGACAGCCCTCCTCATCCCTCCCTTCCTTGCTACCAGCTCTGGCTGGGGAGTCTCGTGGTTAGAATCCAGGACTCCAGGGCAAATAGCCCTGGGAGAACCACGTGGTTCTGTTCTGTTGTCTGGGGCTTCAGATGCCAGCTCTGCCTACAGCAGCCAAGTGGGGGATGGCCATGTGGGCGGTGTGGGTGGTTCCCAGCTAACCATAGCCACTCAGGGAGCAGTCTCAATATGGGCGTGTGGCTGGGTGCAGTGGCTTACGCCTGTAATCCCAGCACTTTGGGAGGCTAAGGCGGGAGGACTGCTTGAACCCAGGAAGCCAAGACCAACCTGGACAACATAGCAAGACCCTGTCTTTACAAAAATAAAAAATATTTTTTGAGACAGAGTCTCGCTGTGTTGCCCAGGCTATAGTGCAGTAGCATGATCTCGGCTCACTGCAACCTCTGCCTCCCGGGTTCAAGCGATTCTCCTGCCTCAGCTTCCCGAATAGCTGGGACTACAGGCACATACTACCATGCCCAGCTAATTTTTGTATTTTTAGTAGAGACAGGGTTTCACCATGTTGGCCAGGCTGGTCTCGAACTCCTGACCTCAAGTGATCTGCCTGCCTCGGCCTCCCAAAGTGCTGGGATTACAGAAGTGAGCCACTGCGCCCGGTCTTACAAAGAATTTTTTCAAGCCAGGTGTGGTGGCAAGCCTGTAGTCCCAGCTGCTCACGAGGCTGGAGTGGGAGGATTGCTTGAGACCAGGAGTTCGAGGCTGCAATGAGATATTATTACCCCACTGTACTCCAACCTGGGTGACAGAGCAAGACCTTGTCTCGAAAAAAAAAAAGGGGGGTGCACGGACAGGCGTTTAGGGGCTGCTCTTCTGTTCACATGGGTGGCCCCAGGAGACTGGTATAGGAAGCAGGTCCTGCCGCTGTGCCCACGCAGGGTCCTCAATCCCATGGTTGAGCTACTGACTGAGGATGGCTATCCTCGGGCCTGGAACCTTCTCAGGAGGCCCCAGGGAGAGACTGCAGGGGCACTGAGCTTCAGGGAGTGCTCACAGCCCCCACCTCCTGCCAGCCCCAGCCCAGCCCGCATCTGACCTCCTGCCGGGAGTGGATATGCAGGTCCTGGAGGCCGGCTGTGGGCTGGAGCTTCCACACCGTGGCGTTGACCCGGTCCTCCTCGAAGGACACCGTGTCCCCCATGAATCTCACAGAGGTCAGCTTCGATTCCAGGCTCTGCAACTGCCTGGCAGGGAGGAGAAAGCAGCGGTGATGGTGGGGAGGGGGCTGGGCCAGCAGGGAGACTGAGGCAGGAGGAGGAGACACTCAGACAGAGACACAGGGAAGAGGCAGAGGCAGAGGCAGAGAGAGGGGCTGGGTGGGCAGGAGAGAGTGGAGAGCAGACAAAAGAGAAAAGCAGGCAGCTGTGTGCATGAGGGAGAGAAAGAATGAGCTGGGGGTGGGGTCAGGCAAAGGAGGCGGGGGGCCTGGGAGCCACAGGAAAGGAAAGCAATGGGGTGGTGGGGGCTGTCCTGGGACTCCGCACTGTGGATTCGGGCCCAGCTCTGCCTGTGCCAACCCACTCCGTGGCCTTAGAGCGGCTCTGCCATCTCTGAGCCTTGGTCTGCTGGGCTGTACCATGGACCACCTGTCCCTTCTTTACGTGGGGGAGGAGGGCTTGGGATGGTGGATGCAATGTTGGTTAATGACTCAGACGGGAGAGGAGCTCAGCCTGGGGGGCTTGTGTTGACTCCCAAAAGGTGGAAAGATCAATCAAGGAAGCATTCCAGTCCCAGGGAAGGCCTCGCAGTGGTGCCCCGCTCCAGGTCTCCGCCATGCCCAGGTCCAGATCTCTGATGCCTTCCTGGCTCCCCTCACAGCCCCAGGTGCCACACTTACTGGCTGGCAGGGGTGGCCGAGGGCCTCCTCGAGGCCTTCTGGGGATGCTTCAGGAACTGGCTGAGCAGCTGGAGGTCCCTTTTGAGCTCGCACATGTCCACCGAGGCATTGTGAGCAGCTGTGTGGGGAGGACCTGGGGGAGGGGTGGACAGGCCCCCGCCGAGGCTGCTGACTCAGGCCCCAGGACCCTCCCATTCTGCCCCCTGCCACCCTGACAAGACTCTGAATGCCTTGATCTTGACTTTATAGAGGGGAAACTGAGGCTTCAAGAAGTAGAGTGGACTCTGCCAAGGTCACTCAGATGAGGCCAGCCTGCAGGGGCTGTGTCTTACAGAATCCGCCAGCAACGCCAGCCCCAGTGGGATGGGGTGGGATGCGCCTTGCTCAGCACCCTCTGCAGGCGCCCTCAGCTACACACACGGAGCAGGGAGGGTCCAGCCAGGCCTCCTTAGGTGGGATGTGGGGGGCTTGGTGGTTTGGTGGTGGTTCCTGGGACTCCACACCCACCAGCCTCCCTGACTCCAGGCTCGGGCCCCTCTGCCCAGGTAGCCTGCACTCAAAGGCGGCCAACTAACGTATCTCCAGGGATTAGCTGGGAGTCAGATGAGGAAGACAGACAGTGGGGGTTAGACGGTATACTTTCTGTGCCACTGAGGAAGGCAGGCCCTGGGTAGCCACATCTTTTGAACGCATAACCCAGAAAGCCTGGGTTTTAGGCGATTTGAAATCCCTGGTCCATGTTTTTTAAAAACCCTCTACAGGTCAAACAAGACCAGGCTCAGTCTAGTCTTCAGAATGCCAATTTGCAACTAGGACCAACTTTGGCCTAAATCCTCCCAGGGTGCAGGGCAGAATCCCAGCCTGGCGTGTGGAGACCCCCCGACCACTGATTGGCCTGGCCCTGCCTGTTGCACTGGACATAGTCAGTTAGCCTGTCACACTAACACAATCAAAGTGCTGTGCCCTCCAGCCCTGAAAGCCCTGCCTCAAACTCCAGGTGCTGGAAAGACATGAAAACCCCCCAGTAAACCTTCAAGCTGCTTCTGATGCTCCTCCTTTCCTGGCCACCGTTCAGCATTTAATGGTGCTGAATGGCAGTGGCCACATGGAACCTGTCACACTCAAGGGGGAAGATGCAGCTTCTGGACCTCAGAGTCAGCCTCACTGCTTTCCTGACCTTTGACCTCTCGTGCTCCACCCCTCACTCCCACCCCACTCCAATCAGCTGCTGGGTTCAAATCCTGGCTCTCCCATTGGCTAGCTGTGCAGCTTTAGGCAGCCTCTCTGTGCCCCAGTTTCCTCCTCTGTGAAAGGAAATAAACAGTCTACAGTGATGCTGAGGAAGAATTTTTTCCCCTGGCTCTTGATCTTCAGTCCCTTTCCAGTCTCTGCTCTCCCACCCTGTTCAGACCTCATCCTCCTTCACCAAGACCTTCTCTGCAGCCTCAGGATGGGCCCTTGCCCCTCCATCCTCACCCCTGCCTGCCCACAAAGTGACCATCAAGAGACAGTGGGGCCAAGCACAGTGGTTCATGCCTGTTATCCTAGCACTTAGATCACACTCCTCCCCTCCTCAGATACCTTCATTGGCTCCCCAGTGCCTGTGAGCAAAGTCCAGGCTTCCTGATGTGACATTGCGAGCCCAGTCCACTTTGCGTTTTGCCTTCCTTGCCTCCAGACCACTGCCCAGTTATTCCCTCTGCCTGGAAGTTATTCCCTCTTGCCTTACTGTGGAAGGAGAAGGTGAAGTTGGAGGCACTGGGCAGGCTGATGTTCTGAGGGCTCCACCAGGAGGTGACAGAAGTGGCGAACAGCGGGGGCCCCTGGGCCAGGCTCTCCTCCTGGTGCTGGAAGCAGAGGAGGCTAGAGGCTTTGTCACTCAGCAAGAAGTCATGCTTGCCATAGAGAAGATGCAATCTCCCAGCATGTCGGTCCCAGTAGAGGCAGAAATGGTAGAGGCCCCTGGGGTGAGGGAAGGATCGGGAAGCACGGTGGGCTTCAGGGAAGGGGGCATGGACTGTGAGGGCCTCCTCGGAGTTCTCGATGGAGATGCGCAGGTCTGCCGTGGATTTGTAGTGGAGGCTGCTAATGTGTGTCTGGTTCCGCTGGCTGCAGAAGCGAAAGTCTTCCCTGTGGCCCCTGCCGTGGGCACCTGAGGAGGCAGAGGCTGCAGATGGGACCCTGTGGCAGGGGCTGACCAGAGGCATGGAAGGGGACAGGACCTAGGCTGAGTACATATGAACTTGGAGCCTGAGACTCACACACATTCCAAGGGTCTACAAAAATGTATTAGTCTTTCCCGCTTAAAACTTATCAGCATCAAACTATAAAACAAGGAAACTGAAAACAAATAGTAATTTCAAAGGCAAAACATACTCTTAACAGCAATGAAGTATTTAATGAGGCCATGGCTGCCATAGACGGTTGTGCAGGTGGTACACTGCACAAGAATGCTCTGGCTGCAAAGGTGAGTGGGACCAGGACCCCATCCAGGTTCCATACCCTAAGCTGTGCACTGCGGGGCTGCACCTGCCAGAAGAAAGGAGTGTCTTTTTCTTTTCTCCAAGGTACCCTCTACTAGCTGAGCTGTACCTGCCTAAAGGAGTTAGCATGTATGCTGTCAGCCACCCTAGGCACAGGGACTTCTTAACATAAGTTCCAACAGCCCAGGGGAGCCCTGGGAAGACTTGCCTTGGACCAGGAAGAGCAGACTCAGCAGGAACAGTGTCGTCTGCAGCAGCGACTGGGCAGTCATTTTCCTCCCACAGAGTCACTCTTGGAAGTCACCACCTGGAAAAGGCCAGGAGTGTTAGCTGGGAGTGTGGCCTGTGTGGCGGTTGGGCTGGCCCTGCAGAAGAGGAGGCCAGTGTGGCATGGATGTGGGAGGTGAGGTGAGGAGGCAAGTGTGGAAACAGCCCATAGACCTCTCCAGTGCAGCCAGAAGCTGATTATCAAGAGGCAGTGAGGCCAGGCGCGGTGGCTCATGTCTATAATCCCAGCACTTTGGAAGGCCAAGAAAGGTGGATCGCTTGAGCACAGGAGTTCAGACCAGCCTGGGCAACATAGTGAGACCCTATCTCTACAATAAATAAAATTAGCCAGGCATGGCGGTGCATGCCTGTGGTCCCAGCTACTAGGGAGGCTGAGGTGGAAGGATCACTTGAGCCCAGGAGGTCGAGGCTGCAGTGAACTATAACTGTGCCACTGCACTCCAGCCTGGGTGACAGAGTGACACCCTGCTTTTTAAAAAAAAAAAAAAAAAAAGATGCGCAGATGGAGAACCTGAGGCCCATGTGGTTAAGTGACTTGCCCAAAAATGCTTCCAAGGTCAGGGGCTTTCCCTGCCTGGTCAGGACTGTAGTGCCTGGCAGGGAACCTGTGGCCCTGGCACTTGTAGAGTTGCCAGAAGGCTTGGCCCTCCCTATGGCCAGCTGACCCTGTGGCAGAGCTGGATGCCCACAGACACAGACAGAACCTCATCCTGTGTGGCACGGCAGCTGGCCACAGCTGCCATCTGAGTTTGAGAGAAAACAAGGCGGACTTTCAGAGTCCAACTAGTTCCAGTCTCAGATCCACCTTTTACCTGTTGCAGGACCTTGTGTAAGTCACTCAAAATCGGGCTAATCATAGTGCCTCCCTCCTGAACCCAGAGTGACGGTGTGATCTTGTCTAGAATCTGGTGTGAGTGCTCTACCTAGAACCGTCACCACCTTTCCCCTCCAGGCCCGGAGGGAACACAGACAAAAGGGGGTTCCCAGAGTTCTCCCCAGCTACCTCCCTATCATCATTCCTGAGACCTAACTCAGAGGACACCTCCTTCAGGAAGCCCTTCTCAACTCCCTCCAGTGTCAGTCCCAGCCTCCTTTGGTTCCCACCACTGGCCGAAGCCCCTCCCACCCCCTCTAGCCTCCTCCAGGTAGTGGGAGACGGTGCATTCCCTCCTCCTTGGTCAGCCAGGGAGCACCTGATCCATCTCTGTGGGCAGGTCCTGGTTGTACAGAGGTTGCCGGATAAAGGCTGTGGGGATGGACAGTGAAGGAACTAAAGGATCGATGCATCCGCGACGCCCTCTACAGGAGCCAGAGGGGAAGGGCGCTTCCTATCATGACCGCCAGGGGGCGCCAGTTCCCAGGGCCCGGAGCATCTGGAACGGCAAAGGGACCAGGGTCTCTGCTGGGGACAAGGACTCGGTATTGCCCCGCCCTGGCAAGGACGGAGCACATCTGACCCCCCAAGCTCTCCATTAGCTGAGCGGCTACTATCTGCCAGCCTCTGTGTTGACCCGTCCCACCCCTGCATCTGTACTGATTCTCACTCCAACCCTATGAAGTGGGCACTGCTGTTGATCCATTGTGCAGATGGAGAATCTGAGGCCCATGTGGTTAAATGACTTGCCCAAAAATGCTCCTGAGGCCAGGGGCTTTTCCTGCCTGGTCAGGACTGTAGTGCCTGGCAGGGAACCTGTGGCCCTGGCACTTGTAGAGTTGCCAGAAGGCTTGGCCCTCCCTATGGCCAGCTGGCCCTGTGGCAGAGCTGGATGCCCACAGACACAGACAGAACCTCATCCTGTGTGGCACGGCAGCTGGCCACAGTGACAGAGGCACTCATGGGCCACAAGCCGGAGAACACACATGGAGTCTGAGTTTGAGAGAAACCAAGGAGGACTTTCAGGAAGAGGTGGCTTTTGAACTGAATAATTGAGAGCAGCATTAAAAGGAGGGGTGTCCCAGGCAGGAGCTCAGTGTCTCCTTCCTGGGCCAGTCCTCCCTCAAATAAACCTGGCCCCTTCGATCACGAGCCTATCCCCTGCGTCCCACCATGTGGAATGGAACCCCAATTTCTTAGGCCTTGTCAGTTCAGTCACAGGTCAAATAGGCTCAGCATCTTGCCCTGGTGGCATCACAGGGCCCTTTGAGAAGAAGGATGTGGAAGTGTTTTAGGGAAGGGCACCATTTCCCAGGTTGTGATTTGTAAGCATTTTGATTCCTTTTGAAACTGCCTCCTGCCACCCCCGACCAGCGGAAGGAAACCCAACATCTGGGGACAAGGACTCCCAGACCCCTTCTTTCCTTCTGCTTCCTGTCAGTCTCTGTTGCTGTCCCCCTCTGATTGTCAGTCCAAATGCCACTTTCTCCAAGCAGCCCCTCACTGCTACCACCAGTCTCCACCTGTAAACTCGAAGCTGACAAATCATTTGGAGAATTTGAATCCAAGGCCCAAAGAGGGCCAGTGACCTACTGAGGTCACACAGCAAGCAAGGAAGGAACTGGCCAGAATCCATGCCTCTCCCTGGCTTACTGACCTTCAAAGTGAGCCTTCACTACCAGTAGGCATGGCTGAAGGACAGAGCAGAACCACTGCCTCACTTCAGCCCTCCTGGATTGGCCCTTGAGAGTAAAGGAGGGGAGTACAGGTAATGAGCTCCCCATCATTGGTAGGAAACAAGTGAAGTGACAACATGGGGTTCCATGGAAGAAATCCAAACACACACAAGGGACCAACTGTCCCCACCACTTCCTGACTCATCCCCACTCCACCTTAGCTGTTTGAACGACTACTCCAAGGTGGACAGCTCTGGCTCCATCAACATGCTTTAGGCTTGATGGGGAGGGGCTGCCTGGCTTCCTTTAACCTAAGGGGTAGACTCTAGAGCCAGGCTGCCTGGGTTCAAATCCTGACTCCCTCGCTAGCTGTGTGTCCTTGGGCTAGTTACTCACCCTCTCTGGGCCTCGCTTTCCTCACTTGTAAAGAAGAATAAAGAAATCAAGCTCACCTCAAAGGTCATTGTGAGAATTAAAGAATTGATGCCTGTAAAGGGCTTAGAGGCAGGCGCCATGAGTCTCAGCTAAGTAGCTCTACTTTCGAAATAGCTCAGCCCCTGGGCCTGTCACAGGCCCCTCCTCCCTGTTTCCCTCTCTTCCTTGCGGCCCCCAGCAGCCAGCTCACCCACCGGAGCACCTTGAGGGGAAATTCTTAGAGCATGAAGCTTCCTTTCCGGGAGAGCGCAATGGAAGGCCGAAACCCCACCCAGAAAACTTCCCTCCTCCAGACGCCCACTGGGGCAGGAGAGCTGGGCTGGGGACAAGGAAGTCGCCACGTAGATGGGGCTGGGGGGCACTGTCCCGCTTGTCTGCTTAGCGCCCTTCCTTCATCCCTGCCTATGCCACCCCTCCAGGTCTGCCCCCCACACGCATAGCTGCCAGCTGCCCACCACCCACCCAGGCACCAGGGATGTAGCATGAGTCTCCGCACAGACCCCTGGGACCTGACCTGTCTCTGCCTCTGGAGCTGCAGAAGCCCAGCGCTACAGGGCCTCAGCCATCAGGCGCTCAGTACCAAGCACGGCCCCACAGGCGAGGGCCTTGCCTCGGCTCACACAGAGCCAGAGGGAGTAGCTGAGCAGGGGGCATTCTAGCAACATCCCCACAATGATAATGTCAGTGGCGACGTCCGTGGTATCACACCAAACCCTCAGAACCACCCTGTGATGTCGGTCCCACTGCTACCATTTTACAGATGCGGACACTGAGGCTGGGGAAGGCTGTGTGTTCTGAGATCACATGGGCGTGGTGCCAAGCCTCCCCCTCCTTGTAGAGCTGGCATTGGTAAAGGCCCCGGAGATGTACATCCTTTCCAATCCCCTGGCTTTGGAATCCCCCCAAAGGGAAGGAGAGGAGAATGCGGAGTAGCACAGAGAATCCAGCCTGGGAGAGAGGGTGCTCGGGCTGAGGCCCAGGGAAGCCGCCACCACCCCCAGCTTCCAGAGCAGCCACCCTTGACTTCAGACCTTCCGTAAACACACACAGGACAGAACAGGTTGGTCCAACCTGACACAATGGGGGCCACATCATGGGGTTCCCCAAGGATCCAACAGAGTGGAGGATGGCCAGAGTTTGTCTGAGACCCCACCCCACCCCCAGCCCATCCCCTGCCCTGCCCCCAGGGCTCCAGCTCCAGACCTAGCTCAGCCCTGCCCCTCTGCACGGTGGGCAGGGGGGACCCACGGCTCACTTTCTCCCAGGGGGCCTGAGTCACTTCCGTGTGGAGCCACGAGTCACCGCTGCCCAGGCCAAGCTCCTGGAAAACCCATTTCCTCGGAGGATGGAGGTGGAAGTTGAGTGGACAGGACCTGGATGGCTCTGGGATTAACCCTTCCTGGGCAGGCGCCTCTCTGCCGTCTCCTGCCGGGAAGACTCACGAAGCTGGCCGTCCACTGCTTCCTTCTTCCCTTTACACACAGCGGCCACTGCCCGCCCCTGAGCACAGGCATCCCACCCCCAGACCTTTGCCCCTTGCTGTCCCTTTGCCTTGGATAACACCTAGCCCTGTGACATTCCACTCATCTTTGAGACGAGCTGAGACAAGTCGTCCCCATGAAGCCTCAGCTACCCGTCCATTCCTTGCCAAAATTAACCCGTGTTCCTGCCGGCCCACAACCCACCCTCAACATGACACGCTCCCCGCATTGCCACAGATGCTCACATCAGAGGCTCCCAAGCCTGCTGGTGCTCAGACCTCCCCCTGGGAGTGAGCTAAATGCAGATACACAGTCCCGGCCCGCAGAGGGTCTGATGGGGTGGGCTTGGGAGCTTGGCTGTAACAAGCATCCCGTTGATCAACACACTGCAGGCTTGGGAACCAGGGGCTTATGAACCAGAGATAGGCACCAGCAGCCCTGGTTTAGAGATGGTCAGAGAGGGGAGGGACTAGCGACGCATCCCTCAGCTGCTAGATGGCAGGGCCTGGACTCGGGGCCAGGGCAGCCTGCATTCCAGCACCGCCTCTTCCCTGCCCTGTGACGCGGACCCATCAGGCTCCTCTGTGGCTCCCCTAGCATTTAGCAGGCCCTGGAAGGGGCCTCCTGAAAGACATCAGGAGAAGGGCAGGCATCGGGTGGGGGGTGGCAGGGTGGGAAAGGAGTCAAGGAGGGAGGAACGAGGGAGACCCGGAGGCGATCTCCAGGTTCCAGCCTAGTCTTGCCCACCTGGAGGACTTCCCCTCAAATTGATCCTCGCTGGGAGAGGCACACGGGAAGGTCCCAGCTCAACGTCCACTGCCCCAGCTCCCCTCCCTTCCGCAGCTGCTCTCCCGTGGGCTGCTGGGGCACAACACGGAGCTGCTGAGCCTTTGGAAGCAAGAATTTGGCCTGGGAGAGTCGGGGGCAGGGTGAGGATGAACTCCTGCCAGTTACACAGGCACATGGGTGTGCGTGAGTGTGTGTGCCCGTGCATGAGTGTGAGTGTGTGTGCATGAGTGTGATGAATGTGAGTGCCCGTGCATGTGTGTGTGAATGAGTGTGTGTGTGAATGAGTGTTCATGGGTGTGCACGCATGAGTGTGTGTGCCTGTGCATGAGTGTGTGTGTGGATGAGTGTGTGATGAATGTGTGTGCCCGTGCATGTGTGTGTGAATGAGTGTGTGTGTGTAAATGAGTGTGCATGGGTGTGCACGCATAAGTGTGTGTGCCTGTGCATGAGTGTGTGTGTGCATGAGTGTGCCTGTGTGTGTGCATGAGTGTGCGTGTGTGTGTGCGCATGAGTGTGTGTGCCCGTGCATACATAGTGACCCAGGGGGCCTGGAGGAGAAAGCAAGAGAAGGCTGGGAGCATCACAGAGGAGGCAAGTTAGCTCCGCAGAGGAAGAACGAGGCAGCCGCTCAAACAGACTTCAAAGTTGGGGAGGGGACAGGGAGGGCGGGGAACAGCGCGAAGAGCCGGGCTCTTGCAGGTGCTTCCTCCATGGTGGGTGGGGTGGCGTCTGAGAGGACCCTCCCTCCAACGGTTTCCAAACGTTTTTTATAAAAGTAAATCTTACTTGGAAATAGCATGTACCCAACAGCTCAAAGGAGACGCCCCTGTCAGACCCAGGTGGCACTCAGGGCCACGCCCCACTCCCAGCCCAGTCCCCTAGTCCCTCAGCCGCGCCCATGGGTCCTGGGATAACAGCTTGCAAAGGCCGAGCCACTCCCCTCCCCCATTCCCACTCCCCAAGTGAATGACTGAAGTCCAAGTTAGGTGACCACAGAGAGCTCCCCAGCAGGGGTGTTCCAGGATCTGGCGGAAGCAGAGTGACTTCAGTTTTCAGGAATTTTCCTACAATAAAGGAGAATAAAATGAAGCAAGCTGCCTGCCTCGGAGGCTAGCGGGTGCCCAGGCCTGACCTGCTCACTGCCCAGGGCGAGGCTCACACTCTTACACCAGACCTGCTGGACACCCGCCCCCACACCGCCAGCTCAGGTCTCACTGTGCCGGTAGCTTCTGGTCCAGCCAAGTCCTTAGGCCACAAGACCCTCTGCCTGCCCAGACACACCCTGTGGGGAGACTGACAAAGGGGAGAAGTTGGGGCACTGCCTGCCAGCCTGAGAGGGAAGGACCCGCTCATGGGAAGGGACTCTGAGTCCTCCCAGAGAGTCAGTTGTCCAAAGCCGGCTGCCCCTGTGCCTCCCGTATGTGGAACTGGGCATTTGCTTAAGAGGCCTCAGAGAAGCCAACATATAGTCAGCCAGCCAGGAAGGAGCCTGGCCTTGGATGCTCCCACCTCCAAGCCTTTGCACACACTGGTCCTCCTCCCTGTGATGCCAGCCTTGTGACACATCTGTGAGAGTCCCAGTGCCCTGGCCTCAGGCCCCCACATCCTCCCAGTCCCCATGCCTGGCAGGACACCAGATGATGAGTGGGACTAAACAGGGGTCTTATCTGGTGCAGTGGAAAGAGCCCTGGAATCCAGGGAGGTTCTAAGAGGAGAGGGAGGATCACAGCTTCCACTCACCAAGTGCTCAATTAGCCGCTGGCATCCTGCAAAGCACTTGGCAAAAAATTAATTGTTCAATCCTCACAATAACCTTAACAGCAGAGCCCGTGAATCATGCAATCCTCGCAGCAACTTGGTGAAGCAAATGCTATCAGTGTCCCCACTTTAAAGACAGGGAAACTGAAGCCCAAAGAGGTTAAGTTATGCCCAAGATCACACAGCAAATAAGCAGCCGAGCCGGGACTCAAACTCAGGTCCGCCTAACCTCCGAGCCCAAACTTTTAGCCTCTGTGGTCTTTTGAGTTCTTTCTCTTCTCTGGGACTCAGTCTCCCCATCTTTACCATGAGGTAACCTGCCAAAGCACTTTCAGGGAGCACTAGTCCCCATATTAGAGAAAGGGTTGGGGGTCATACTTTCTCTTGTATATTAGCATATCAAAGGCCCTGATAAGTCCTGCAGGAAAGAAACCCATAAAGCTTGGTTGGGAGTTTCCCAGCCCAACGTGAAGGTAGAGCCTTTTTTGCATGGACCCCTGTTATCAACACGGAGAAAAGCTCTCAGAAATCTTGTCGCCACACAGAAGCCTGCCAGCACCTCCAGCCCCCTCCCCCCTCTTCCCCTTTGAGCTGTCCCAAAGGTCATTAGCTAGCATGAGATGAGCTAGAGGAGATACTTAGGCACTCCCCAGGGCCACTCATCATCATCCCTGACACTTCCAGGAAAGAGGTCCCTGGTGAGCCTGGGGTATATTCGGGCCTATCCCACCTCCCTTCGGCTGGCAGCACCAGCTTGTGGGGAAAAGGGCACTGCCAGGGCTGTCCCCAGGTACGCCATTCCATTAAAGTTGGCCATGGCCAGCTGGGCCTGCGACTTCATCTCAAGCAGCTGAGACACTCAGGATGTTGGAAAAGAGAGAGAAAGAATATGAGGATGCAAGAGTTTTAGGAGATGAGAATCAAAGCCTCTTAGAATTTCAGAATTCAATCCAGGGGTGGTGGTGCGTGCCTGTAGTACCAGCCACTTGGGAGGCTGAGGCAGGAGGATTGCTTGAGTCCAGGAGTTTGAGGCTGCAGTGAGCTATGATCGTGCCACAGTACTCAAGCCTGGGTGACAGAGTGAGATCTTGTCTCTAAATACAAATTAATTTAAAAAAAAAAAAAGAAGAAGAATTTTAGAGGCCAGGCACGGTGACTCATGCCTGTCATCCCAGCACTTTGGGAAGCCAAGGTGGTCAGATCACTTGAAGTCAGGAATTTGAGACCAGTCTGGCCAAAACAGTGAAACCCTATCTCTAAAAAAACAAACAAACAAACAAACATTACTGGGCATGGTGGCACATGCCTGTAATCCCAGCTACTCGGGAGGCTGAGGCATGAGAATCACTTGAACCCGGGAGGTGGAGGTTACAGTGAGCTGAGATCACACCACTGCACTCCAGCCTGGGCGACAGAGTAAGACCCTGTCTCAAAAAAAAAAAAAAACAACAAAAAAAAAACTTTTAGAATTGATTGAAGAGACTTAGAACCTAAAGGAAAAACAGGGATTAGGAAGGCACTGGGGACACCAGCCTGTCTTGAAGGGATCTCAAAGAGCCAAAGAGCCAGCAGTCCGAGCACTCCGGTGCAGACCTGTTTAGCTTATGTTCCTGGGGTGGTCTGCAGCCAGGCATAGGCTCATGGCCAAGTCTCCACCTGGCCGTCTCCAAGAAGCAGCTGAGGCCAGCCTCCTGGGCGCCAGGGCATACGCCCGTCAGTACCTGCCCAGGGAATGTACATGCCTAGAGCAGGGGTGGCAGGAGTTAGGGGCATAAGGTTCAGACAAGCTCTGCAGGCAACTGGAAGCTTGGGGTCAGCCTATCCCTTCTCTGGGCCTTATTTTCTCCCCTGTCAAGTGGGCAACACTGATGCCTGTCCCCTGCGTGCCTTCTCTGGAGTCAGCGCCCTCCAGGCTCCCGCAGGCTTCAGGATGTCTACAGGTAAGAACAGAGCTTACCTCCGAGCTGGCAGCAAGGGACAAAGAGGATGCTGAGCCGTCTCCCCTGGCCTGTCCAGACTGTCTTCCCTCTCAAACCACAGCCGGACCTCAACTGTCTGGCTGAGGTTCCCCTTCCCCATCTGTGTTCCCACGTTGCCCAAGGCCAGGCCCTCAAGGTCAGCCTCAGTCACCTCCCTCCTTGTTTAGCAGTTCAGCTACCCCAGGTCTGGCAAAACTCCCATCTTTGGAGCACAGGACACTTAGCATTCCCAACGCTGGCCACCAACCCTCCCTTTCTTTTCTCCTCCCCCTCCTCGAGGTCCTGGATTGCTGGCTGAGGGGCTGAGAGCACCCTCCCCTATTAAGTAGGCTGAGTAGGACAAAGTTCTCCCCCACCAAGGCTGGGGGCCCGAGCCTGGCTGCGCCTGGGCCCCGTCCAGGGAAGGGAATTAGAAGCACTGAGTTCCATCCCAGCTCCTGAGCACACAGCACAGCATCACTGAGCATCAGGCGCTGTACACTCCACAGGCGGGGTGCTCACCACCTCCAGTGACACAACCGTGTTCATTAAGCTCTTTGAAAATGCAAAACAGGATTGTGAGCTTTTTACACATGTTCACGCATTTAAGCCTCCTCAAAACCCTTGAGACAAGTACCATCACACCCACTCAAAAAAAAGGCCAGCGAGGCCCAGGGAGGTCAAGTTATCTGTCTGAGGTCACACAGCTAAGTGAGTAATGAAGGTTGAATGTGAACCAGGGCCAGCTCCAGGACACACGCTGTTCATCTCGAAGCCTATTTCCCCCCTGAACTTACCTGACTCTTAGAAAGCGTATCTCTTGGAAAGTGACAGTAAAGAAAGCTTCCCACAATGTGTTTCCATGGGTTCAGCTGGACGCCATCCTCCCAAGGGCCCAAATCAGGGGGCCCATCGGAACTTACCCAGGTGACCTTGGATCCCAGCCCCACTGGCGGCTGTTTCCTGCACTTCCAGTCTCCTCATGCCCTGGACTTGTCAGAGGCTTATTTCTGACCTCTGGGGTGCAGCCCAGGGACCCAAAAGAATCTTCAGCAAGGGTTGGGCTGCAGGGAGGGGTGCAGAACTCTCACCCCCAACCACTTCCTTTTAGTTGAAGCTGCTGTCTTTAACTGCCCAAGTCCCTTGGAGTACCATCTGACCCCCCCCCAGGGTCCCTAGTGCCACCCCACCCACTGGCTACACCATCAATGTTGCGTAGAAGGGGGATGCAGGGGAGAGGAAAAAGATAAAGGGGAAGGGATGGGAGGAAAGAGGGGAGCTGGAGGGGAAGGAGAGTGAAGGAGGAAGACAGGGGAGAAGCGGGGAGCAGGGAGAGGGAGCAGGAGTGAGAGGGATGGGGAGGAGAGGAGGCGGGAGAATCGTACCTGGACTCCTTTGTGGCGTCAAGCGGACTATAGATACATTAAGAATGTGCATGGCAGACGAGGGGTTCTTGTTTGCAGGCAGTAGCCTGCGGGGCTGGTGTCAATCTCCCCCCAACCACCTCTTTTCAAGAGGACGGAGACTTTGAAGCTGTGCCACCCCAGCCACTGCTCCCTCACTGGAGCTTCAAACAAAGGGGACAGCCAGGGAAGAGAGGCTGAGAAGCCCCAGCCGCCAGCGCGGGAGAAGGGGCGCAGGTGACAGCAGCCCCTGGCAACCGTTGCCCTGGCAACCGTTGGCAGCTGCAGGGACTACGTCACAGCCTGGCTCAGACCCAGCAAAGCAACGTGGCCCCGTAACTTGTCCTGTGCCCAAGTCCTCAACTCAGACGCTGCCCAGGCCAGACAGGGAGCTGGCAGGAGGGAGGGCAGGGGTTAGGACAGCGATTTATAGAGAGCCTGAGCCTGAGGGACACCTGCCTGTCTTGAAGGGACCACAAAGAGCCAGAGCTTCCAATTTCTCCAGAGAGGCAGAGCCCCAGGTTTTTACATGAAATCTGCAAGTTTGTCAACATTGACTTTAACACCAAATCTTCTTTTTTTTTTTTTTTGAGATGCAGTTTTGCTCTTTCGCCCAGGCTGGAGTGCAGTGGCGCAATCTCAGCTCACTGCAACCTCCGCCTTCCAGTTTCAAGCAATTCTCCTGACTCAGCCTCCCGAGTAGCTGGGACTATAGGCACCCGCCACCATGCCTGGCTAATTTTTGTATTTTCAGTAGAGACGGGGTTTCACTATGTTGGCCAGGCTGGTCTCGAACTCCTGACCTCATGATATGTTCACCTTGGCCTCCCAAAGTGCTGGGATTACAGGTGTGAGCCACTGCACCCAGCCCGAAACCAAATCTTTTTTAGAACCCAGTGCAGGCCACCCAGTAACCAAATTATGCCTAACAATAGCTGGATTTGCTTCTAGAAGCTGCCAGACTGTGGCCCTGGCCTCAAAACAAGCAGAACACCCTCTAATCCCACCATTGGCTTCTGTGAGCACAATGTGTGCATCATATTTCTCTGAAAACTCCTTAGGGTCCACCTCCTCCAGGAAGCCTTCTCAGATTGCCACAGCCTACCAAGAATCTCCCTTCTGAGTTAGTCCTAGGCCTGGAGGTTCCTCCTGGCTTCCTTCTAGAGCTCCCAGGGGGCTAAGCGCTCAGATTCTCTTTTTCCAGTCTGGGGAGGGAGGAAAATAGAGGCAGAGCTTCTGAAACTCCTCTTGTGTGCCAGGAACTACATTGGGCATTTTGGAGATCCATTTCTACCACTCTACAAGGTTAGCCCTATGGGACCCACCTTACAGATGGGGAAACAGAGGCTCGGGGATGTGACTTGCCGTGAGCCTCCTAGCTGGTAAGGGAGGGGTATGGAATTTAAACGGAGATCTTCTCTGGGACATGAAGATATCAAGACCAGTTGTCCATCTGGCGCTTGACTAATCCCTAACTCTCCCCCACGTTCCATGCTCCGCCAACTTTATTTGAACATCTCCAGTGACAGGGAGCTCACTCTCTTCCAAGAGGGCACATTCCTTTGATCTCTAAGTTTCTCATACCCACTGAATCAAAGGGGAAAGGGCATAAAAACTGTGGTATTCCCCAGACAGGGCACAGAAGAGAACCAGGAGTTAGAACCCCCACCGAGGTTTTCGGTTCCAGACCAGCAACAGGCCAGCAGATAGGGTGGGATTGCTCAGGGGTGCAAAAGGTCCTGGGGTCTCAGTCAACCAGCTACAAGCACTTTCTGAGAACACAAGCAGGGAACCCCACTGGCCATCACGTTCCGAGGGGAACGTCCGACAGAGGAAGGGGCTTTGGGGGTGATTTCTGGCAGACGCCATGGGAAAGGCAGCAGGGGCTTGGGGCAGAGGGGATGGCGTCTCTGCAACTCCCCTCCTCCCCCGCCCCTCCGTGGAGCAGAGCCAGGAGGCAGCTTCAGTCAGGAGGCTGCTATTGTCTCACTGCAGGCCCAGAGCTGGGTCCCATTCAGGCCCTATTTTTGGCCCCCGGAGGAAGAGGAAAAGAAAGCAAAGAAAGGACTTGCTGTTCTCTGGTGAAACCTTCTCCCGGAAAGGCTCACAGGGCTTGCTGGCCGGAGAAGGCGGCCTCTGTTGCATCAAAGGATCCTGGGCTTAAAGGGAGCTGGCAGGGGGCTGTGGTTCAGGGGACCTGGGGGGAGGTACAGACGAGGCACGCCACGTCTTTTACATACACTTAGTACTCACTTACAACAGCAACCCAGAGAAACAGAGGCACAGCTTCCCCAGCCCCACCCATAGTCCCTAAACATCCCACTCATGGAAATAATAAAAATAACTGCAATAGCTCATCGCTGTCCAGAGCCAAAAGCCAAAGCACTGTCTTACTTCACACCTACAACATTCCCCACCAGGGTGGGGGCGGGGACCGACATGATGAAGCTCATTCTGTAAGTCAGAGAACTGAGGCTCAGGGAGCAGCAGGACTGCTGAAATCACAAGCCAGTGACCACAAGCCTACTCCCGTCCCCCAACCTTATGCCACCCCATCCCTTCCTTGCAGTCACCAACTCCAGCCACTCTAGACTTCTATCCTCAGACACACCTCAGGGTCTTTGCACGCACTTTTCCTTCAACATAGCACACCCTTTCCAGGACCCTTTCCCTGACTGCCTCCTTCTCAGGCCTCAACTCAAATGTCCCCTCCTGTGAGAAGCCTTCCATGACTACCCAATTAAAATTATCTTCCGCATCCATCACTTGCTTCCATGTGATGTATTACTGTGATTTATTACCCTTACGGCACCCAACACTGACAAGACTCTGCAATTTGCTTACATGTTATCCCTCGCTCAGCTTTGCTGTCTCACCTGTCTTGCTCACCACCTGCATCTCCAGTACCTAGCACAGTGCCTGGTCCACAGATGATCCCAGTGACTGCTAGATGAGTAAATGAAGACTGAGACGGAGCTGGGACTCTAACCCAGGGCAGGCAGGCTCCACACCTCTTCCTAAAAGGAGCTATTCTTGATAGATACCATAGAAGATCTAGAAGATCCAACCCAGAAGTGCCACTCAGGCTATGTGAGGGGTAGGGGATAGGGGATGGAGAGGGTTCGAGCACTGAGCCATCTCCACTCCCCCGCCTCTAACAGGATCAGGAGCACACACACCTCGCTGGGTGCTTGGCCAGAGAAGGGTTCCCAAGACTGTGCATAGCCTGATAGGATCTGATACACAAGGCAAACTCTCCTTTGCTTTCCTGGTAAAGGCTCTGAGAAGTCCTGCGGCATGGAAGCCTGGGAGCCCATGCCTTTCCTATGCCGCTAGGGCCACAGACAGTTTGAATGAGTGCTGCATTAGAAGATGTCTGAGATTCCATCTGAATCTGTGAGCACTGAACCTTGGATTTTCTCTCTACATTAAAGCAAAATTACCACCCCCAAAACCCTCAAAGGCCCACTCCTGTGGTTCGGGTCTAAGGGGAGCCCAGGTAGCAGATTTGCCAATGAAAGTGGGGCACGTTCCCATTGCTGCAGACACCAAGCTCCTACCTGTGCTCCCCATGGGTTCTCCCAGGTAAAACAAGGAGGAGAAAGGGCACGTGCTTATGGCCATGGGGTCCTGCAGTCTAGCAAGCTGGGGGTGGGGTGTGTCCCAAGGACTAGTCTGCAGAGATTCATGAGGCAGCTGGGGCAGAGAAGGGAGCCATGCCTGAGTACAAACCGTAGGATATACACTTGGCCTCACATGCTTCCAGGGCCACTCTGTGAGGAGGTACTATCATTCCCATTTTATAGCAGGGACACAGGGACACGGAGCTTGCCCAGGGACACAGAGCTGGTAAAACTGGATCCAAAGGAGCATGGTGTACTCCTTTCCCTGGGCTGCCTCTGTTGTCCTGCATGCCCTGGCATCAACATGGAGAGTCAGCGGCAGCTACTCCGTAGAGAGGGAACGGGAGGCTCAGAGGTGCTGAGCCACAGGGCCCAAAGCCTCGCGGCCCAGGAACAGGGGCGGGGCCGGACCTTGCTCTCTCCTTTGCTCATGTGGTTTGCAAACACTACTGTCCTTCCTCGATCACAGTCACTAAAGCTTCGGACTCCAGTTTTCCAAACCCAGGTAGAGGGACAGAGACAGGACCCTGGGGCATGCCGCCACCTGCTGCAGGGTCTCCATGAAGAGGCACTGGCTGTCCTCCGCCACCATGGCTGGCGAGGGTGCTGCACTGGTCCCAGCTCCCACCACCTCCAGTTAAGGTGCCAGGACGCAGGCAGGAGAGGAGCTGGAGGACAGACCGTGTGCATCTGGTCCCCTAGGTGTGCGCACAGGTGGCATAGCCCCCCAGAGGGTGTGGCCAGCACGGCCATGGTGTAGGATAAGTACAGCTTTGAGGAAACTGTACATGAGGGTTTCTTCCAGCCTTGCCCACTGTCCTCTAGGCAGATAGGGGGCAGGGGGAGTGCCATGAAGTCAGGA